AAGTGAAATATTAACATATTACTCCAAGTCAAGAAAATGGAGGAAAAATGAGGCCCTAGTCTTGTGAAAGTGAAATCTAAAACTTTCTATTACCTTTGTTGCATTGTTAAATTCATATTCACAAAAACAATGTTATGAAAGTTTCGTATTCTTTTCCTTTCTGTGATTTGGCCAGAAGCCATGAGTATTTGAATACTTGCAGCCTTGCCCTCCAGGAGGATGTCATCAGTCACTTTGCAACTTGCTTATTGTGGGAAATAGCCACTTTTAAAATGGATGACCTATCACAAAATCCTAAAATTGATCCCAAATTGATTTAAAGGGTAGACCTAAAGTACGTTTTATTTATCATCTATCAGCAGTACACATGTGAACGTGAGAGACGTATACAGGCAGTATAACTGGAATTCTTAGATCTGATTCTCATTTCAAACAATAATGGAAGGTTTTAAGACTTCAATATCTTTAGATAAATTCTTCTAGGAATGGTGGGGACAGTGCTATGATCTTAAAAAAAATATTATCATCTCAAAAATTTATGACTACAGTGATCAAAAATTTATGAGACTGTATCTTGAAATTAGTTCATTTTGCTGTTTTTACTTGCTTTTAAAGGATGAGATTTTCTGCCAGAAAAGAAATACAAAACATTTCTTTAAATCTTGTAACATTTCTTTTGAATATTTCCTCTTAAATGAAGTAAAGCAAGTTATTGGTGCACGTAAAGCTATTGGTGAAGTAAAGCAAGTTTTTGGTTATGAATTTGTTGGTGGTTTTAGAAGGTAACCCAACATGGAGCTCAAACCCAAGCTAAATTACATGTGTGTTGTGAATTGCAAACACATTTTTATAACATTTCCTCTTCCTTCTCCAGACAAAAGGTAGCACCTATTCAGCTCCACGCAAGATTTTCCTCCAAACATATTCAAGGGTCTAGGCAAAAGAGAGCTGATATAATAGAATTTCATCTGTCTCAAGAAGTTTTAATTAAAATACAACGATTGAAGAATTGAGGTGTCAACTGATTTATTAATAACTTAGACTGGAAAATTCACTAAATGTTCAGTATGACAAAAGAAAAAATACTCAGATTAATTTAAGACATGGAGAAGAGAGAATTTCAGAGAACATACAATTGATTGAACTTGTAGTGGAAGGAGAATTGTAGGGTGGTTACTACACCAGATATCTGTCCATTCTGTAACTGCAGTTTCTGGAGAAACTTGAAATTTATGACAAAATTTTAGACTTCCTTGCAGAAAGTAGAAAGGGTGAGAGAACTCTGAAAATCACCATTCCTTTCCTTTATAGTAATTACTTTTTAATACTATCACAAGATTTTTTAAGATATTTTCTAATCATCATGAATAAAAATTCAAAAATTTTATTGCAAAAGTTTAGTTGGAAAGAAGTCTAATATAAACTAAAAAAAGTTCTTACCATGCCAACCCTGGTAGTTCTTTTTTTTGCTCCTTCACTATTTTTTCCAGGGCAAATGGCAAATTTTCTGTTATCAATTTAAGAGTTGTTAAATTGATGAATAAATTATGTCTGGAATTTTTTTTTTCTTTTGTGTTGTAGATTGGAGAATTTTAAAGAAATAGGACTAGGAAAATACACTGAAAAGTAAACTGTAAAAATTGTGACAATATCGGAGTGTAAGAAAATGTATGTCATTATTTAAAAGAAAACCAACTGAATTTCAAGTAATATCTGTACTGTGTTTTGGTTCATTATTTAATATTTTTATCCTTTTACTCTCATCTTGATGTTATTCATCTCCTGTCTCCCTCTGTGTGGACAGTTTCATAACAGGATTTAGTCTGAACCTTCTGTCAGGAAGGTGTACTGATGCATTCTATATGCAGTAATACTTTTCAAGCAACAACAGAGTAGACGAGGAGTACAAGTTAGGTGGGGACAGGAGGGTAGCAATTGCCATTATCCTAATAATTTAGTGCATATTTGATGCCTTCAATAGAATTTTGCATAATATAAAATATTTAGAACATAGCCAGACTGGAAGTAATTGAACTAAGAGTCTAAAGTTACAATATTTAGTGATTATATATGAAGATAATATTTTTATTTGTTTCAGCATGAATAAAATTAAAAATTAAATTCTCATTCTGTTTTTAATACGAAGAAGCGATGGCATCGTTCTTGAACACTATCTGTGTTTGACATAACATGTCTCTGTCTTTGAATCTTCTACGTCCCACCTTGTTCTGAAAGGTGCACTGCTGGCATTAATAGTCATCCCCACTGCCATATCAAGCAGGAGCCCCAAGGAAAGAAAGATCAATGCATTCTTGTATAGAAGTAGTTCTCTGGTACATGATTTTGTCAGGGGCTTCTGTTATTTCAGCATGCAATTGGCATCAGCATTTTTGAGACACAGAAAAGTCTTCCAGCTCTTTTTTAAGGCTGAGAAGATTCATGACATGAACTTCACCAAAACCACACGAGATGTAGTGCAGCCATTCAAGCACTTAGCTGCTGATAGCCAAATGTCTATGCTACGATTCTACTTAGCTATAGCATAAATCTTCCAACTATTGTTAGTACATCCATTTCATGTGGTGTTTATCTTTCCACTTCTTGCATCTTGAGGTTGAGAAAAATTTCTGTGGAATCCAAGATAATATAAACAAAATTGCTCCACATCTTAATCCAATTCTTAAAGTGCATGCAGTCACCTGAATGGCCATTGCAAAGGCAATTGTAATGCTGGAATTTTTTAGTATTTCTATCTAATGTTTGCATCTTTTAAAAAGAAACTGGAAAAAAGAGAACCAGGTGCCTCTTCACAGGTCATCTCTCATGATCATGAATCTGTTATGTTAAATTATGCCTAAAAGTGAGAGGAAATTTTAGTAGTAATAATTATTCCCTTATTTGTGGATTAGTAAAGGGTTGAGAGTTTGTAGTGAATCTTGTAGTAGCTAGTTGGTACTGAAACAATGCATGAGCCATGAATCCTGGTTTCTTTCTTGTTCTGCAACATTATGTTTTCTACTAGCTTTTGGTAGATAGTTGGGCAGGTTTCAGGCATTTTTATCATGAATAATTACTTTGGATAAATTGATGAGATTTTCTGCTTATGAAGACATAAGAAGAGATTTGTTTGCTTCCGCATAGATATCTTTTGGATAGATGGCTTTTCAGGTACCTTAAGATATCTCACATAAAATCCAGTTAGGCATTTTGGATGTCCTGTAGAATCCGAGACATTTGCACTGAGCAGGAAGATCTGACAAAATACTTGTGAGAATCTCTCTTTCTTTTGCAGACACAGGTAGACTCTCTGCTTCTCTTTAAAAATTTAATTAGCATGCTTTCTTCTACCTGTCTTAGGAAGCCTTTTTTCTTTTCTTCTCCGTCTTTTCAATTTCTTTGCTGATTTGTACCAGTTCTGCTTTCCTGACTGCAAAGCCATTGCAGCTATGGTGCAGAAAAGCATCTCAAAAGAAAATGCTAATAGGGGTTGCTATAGTGTACAGTAACAGGCTCTGATAAAAAAAAAAATTCTACACTGCAAACACTGTCTTTAACCCAGACTTCTGTTTCTTAAAATGTCACGAGGTGATTATGCAATTGAATTCTTTCATTCTCAGTTTCTCAGAGTGATTTTGTACTCCACTAAGGTGATTTAACTGCTTCCAAAAGTTAGATCATTGGTCTGGCTTCAGTTACTGCATTAGCAAAATTGAAACACAGAAAAAGGACATTACAATGGTTTTCTAGCTCACAAGCTAGAGGTTTGAGTGCTGATACTCTGTCTTCTCTAACTAGGAGTTACCTGCACAGTAACAGGTCAACAGTATGTTCATTATTTGGGTATTTTACTAGCTTGCTTTTTATAGAGCCAGTCATGAGTACAAGATTATTGTTGCTGGGGGTTTTTTAAGATACATGACTTGGTCAAATCTGTGAATTCTCATATAATCAGTAAGAAGCACTTAGTTGATTAGTTACTAGATTTCAAAGTTATTCTTTGACAAAATTTCCTTATCTATGCAAGGCCATCTTTTTTTTGCCCATATCAGGAAAGAAGCATTGAGAATTTCTACCTGATATTTTTAGTCCTCAAAAAAGTGAAATGTATACCAGAATAGTTCTGTAACTGTAACTCTCTCTACCCATTTTTGTTTATACTGTGAAGTCTGAGACTTGAAAATTTCTCTATGAACTGTAATCCAGCTAATGTACTTTGAGTTTTTTTCTTTATAAGGAAAAGGAAGTGTTTATTACTCTTAAAGAAAAGTTTTAAGGAATTATTTCCAAAGGAAGTAATCTTTACTTTCTAGAGAGATATCTCAATCTTTTTTCATCTCAAGTATCAGAAATCAGTTGGTGTGATAGAGACAGTGAATTGTCTGACAAAAAGATGTTTGTTATGCATTAAGAATTTTCTCTTTAACTTAGTGGTATATGAAGTAAAAGCCTGTTATCTTTTAACATCAATTAGGTGGTTTACATTGGTTTGAAATTTCGTCCTGGAAATCTATGCTAACAGTAAAAGAATTTTAAAAAACCAGTTTGTGATCACTGGCTGGTTTTGTTTTCACTTGTAATCAGGAAGAAACAAAAATTGAATTCAAGGCGGATAGATGGTACATAGATTATTGTCTTCCCTATATAATAATATATGCAAGGTGTAAAAATGAAGCAACGTGAAGAAACTTCTGCTATGGTACTTTGTTGCACTTATGTTCATTGGACAAGTGTATGAACTGGAGAAACAAGATGTATTTTCTATTCTCTGGACAAGAAAAATATAAGTTGCTTAAGAGTGAAACAGAAGACATAACCACTTAAAATTTATTTGAAAATCAGAATGAATTACAGTTTCTAAATGATCAGGTCATTCTTCTCTGGGGGAAAAAAATTAAGAAGTTCAGCCTAAATTCAGTCTCTTTAGGAAGTCATCAGGGTCAGATTCAGATATGTGGTTTAAAATCCTTGGGTTTTGATCATGTTATATTTTATCTTCTTAGGAATGGCAAAATTCTATTCAGAAGAATGCAGGACTTGCATTTATTGAGCTCATCAATGAAGGAAGGTAATGAATTTTAAAGCTTTTGAAAAAATAGTCATTTTGCATTTATTCTATTGGGTGATAATACTTCTTCACCATCTGTTCCAAAAAGATTCTGAAAAGGCAATTTTAATTAAGAGATTTATTGTATAAATACTTAATATAGTAAATATTTCATTTTGAAATGTGTACATTTTGAAAATTTTGTTTATTGACAGAAGGAAATAGAGTTCCCTTGAACTGTATATAAGTTTGGGGTTATCCGAGAATTAAACCACCATTCTCCAGAGTAGCAAGGTTGTTTTACCCAGACAATCCAGGGAGCCCAATCTGCAAACCCATCTGCTGCTCCATCTGTTTTAGGAGCACAGCGTTCATTTTGCAGATGTACTTCTCTGTACTGCTATTTCATGATGAATTATTTTATCTAGAATTTCTGGTCCAATTTGAGTCTGTAAAACATACATGACATTATGTTTATATGATCTTCCTTGCTTTTGCAAATTTTTATGATACTTTAATATCAGTCCTCAAGTAATGTTGGTGCTGTATCGGTGTTCAACTGTGTGCAATGTTTGTCAGTACTTCTAGCCAGCAAGCTGGGCAGCAAAGGGGGACCTTCAGTCTTCCTGGTAGTGGAGTACTCAAGATAAACAGTAATGTGTGTGACTCGTATTGGCCAGTGCATTAAATCCAATTGAATCTACGTGTTTTGTTATGTGCAGATAAAAAAAATATAACAATATACCTGTTGAAGAGATGTTCTTATTTTATGTGTGATTTCTTTTTTCGCCAATGATATCTCATTGGCAAAGTGAAGTATCAAATCTTCTGTTTATTGTAGGATATTTTTTGTCTAGCTGATATTTCAGTGGTTAAATAGTGAATTTATTTAAAATAAAGTTTAGAAAACATCAGAGTATAGAAATATAGGAATATGCGTATTAAAAAAACAGGAGTATGTAGCTTAATTTTTGGCTGATGTAAATTCTCCTAGATTCCTTGTGCACATTGAAGTTACACCACAATATAACAGAGGGAAACATAGTCCTTCCACTGGAAATTCTTCTTGCTATGAAGTGCCAGTATGAGTTTTTATACCATAATAGGGTTCACCTGAGTTGGTCGTGTACTGCACATTATACAATAAATATTACCTGGAAATAGACTGAATAATTATAGTAAGGTTATGTTCTTGGATAGTAATACACAGTACCATTTTGACCTATTTTATTTTCTCAGCCAGGATATTAAAGTCAGATACTATTGTATCATAGCTATTGATAAAATGATCCTTCTGAACAAATCCTATATCTGCATATTTTTAGCGGTCAGGTATTAAGATACCAGTGGACCTGATCCCCTCTAAGTGACTTTTCAAAATAAAGTAGTATTTAAGAATTGCTACTTAAATCCAGTCAAAGGAATGTCTAATCAAACTGCCTTTAGATACATATTCCTCTGTATAATTTTCTCAGAAAGGTGTTTTAGAAAAAGTGTATGTGCATTACTAGAATACTCTTCTTTGCAATCAGCCTTTTTTTTTTTTTAATTTACCGTTTTGGGTATAAAGATAACAATCCTTTAACTGGAAATTGTTATAAATATTTATTCTGCTTAATAGCTAAACTTGTGAATGCAATTGTGCCGTTGTCAACAATTAACAGGACATAAACAGTTGATGAATGTGCAGCTGAATTAAAGTGCTCCCTAGGATAACCTGAAATTATAAACTGGATCATTTAAAGGAATCTAACAAAGGATCTTTATAATTAAAACAAAGCAGGGTTAATGGGATGTAAAATTGCATATAATCACTGTGCAATAATGATTGAATTTTAAATTATTAAAATCAAAATGAAGACTAAGATTATTTTGAAGGACTTTCTGGGTAAGATTTTGAGAGACCTGGGTAATAAATCAACAGTTTTGAGACAGAGCTTTCTTTTGAGTATGGAGGAAAAGGTTTACATGTAATGGAGAGGATCATAGTCTTTCATTAAATGTCTATGTTTTAATAGACAAATCACCATGCTATAAGGTGATTTTCTGAGTACCTAACTTTTGTTATTTCTTTTTGAAATAATTCAAATGCCTTTCTGATCCTTGACTTTATTAGAAATATTCTGAAATAAAATATTTCAGTTTAGTTGTTTTTAAAAAATAACATCTATATTCCTGTTATTTAATAAATTGCATTTTCGTTTTAAATTGGTTGATTTACAGTATTTCTGTTTTTTCTTGGTTTAGATAATGTTTTATTAGGAAGGTCTGAATAACACATACTTGTACAATTCAGTATACAAACAACTTTCTAAAAATAGAACTGTTGTAACTGGTAATTAGTGTTCAGTGTAACAAGAGATCTGACTATAGATTTAAATTAATACTTTCAAAGTCTGTAATATACCTGAAAGATTTAGTGACATCCTGGTTATGATCTTGAGCTTTATGCTTCTTTTTAATCATGCTATGAATGTGTGATGATGAGGGTATCACACATGTCAAGAGCTTCACTGACAGCAGCTTAATTAGGATTTCAGGTTTACATTGGGGTATACACATAAGTAGGCTTCTTAATTTAAGAGCTGGATGCATCTGCCATGTTGGCTGTAAAAGGAGACATGAAAAGACTTTAGGAATGTTGTGTGAGGAGAGTACAGCCCACATTTGAGTGAAGTAGTGATGGATGAGGTTGAAAGAAAAGGGTGCATGCTGACAAGAATGAGATAAGATAGGAGCACCCACCTCATGCAAATATGTACACAAATGCATACAGCTTTGGCAACTGGGAGTAGAAATTACTCCACATGTAATCACAAAGCTGTGACATCATTGGAATGATTGAGATTTGGTGGGACAGCCTGCACTGCATGACAGAAGTGCTGTGATAAACAGATACAAGTTCCTTGGGACGGATAGGCAGAGAAAGCAAGGAAGGTGTTGCCTTCTCTGTGAAGCTCTTCAGTGAGTTGGATGACAGTCTGATTGATAACTTGCAGGACAGGATGAGAGGAGAGTCCAGTAAGGGTGACATCATGGTGAGAGTTTGTTACAGACCATCCATTCAGGGTGACGGAAGGGAAGAAGAATTCTTTAAGCAATTTGGAAAGAAAGAACCATTCTTTAAACACTTTGGAGAAGTATCTGGATCACAAACCCCATTTTCCCATGGGGATCTTTACCCTTCCTGACAACCTCTGAAAGTGCATCAAAGTGGGATGCGTGTAGTCAAGACAATTGCTGAAGAGTGCTGGGAATGACTTCTTGGTGCAGAGTGAAACAACTAAGAGTGACAAGCAGCTGGATCTGCTGTTTACCAGCAAGCAAGAATTATTTTTGAATGTAGTAAATAATGGTACCTTTGGCTGTAGTTACCATGAAACAGTAGTGTTCAAGATCCTGAGGGAAGTGAGGATGGAGAGTAGCAGAATACAGATTCCACGAGTGCAGATTTTAGCCTGTTCAGGAAACTGATTAGTAGGATCCCATGGGAGGCAGATGTGGAGGTCAAGGGAGCTCTAGAAAGGTGGCAGGCTTTTAAGTACAGCATCATCCAAGTGCAAGAACAGGAAAAAAGTAAATGTATCAATAGAGTGGTTTGGCTAGCTAAGGAAATTATAGTAGAGCTCTGATGCAAAAAGAGAGTGCATAGGAGGTGGAAGTAGAATCAGGCTACAAAGGAGGAATTTAGAAACATTGCTTGAGCATGTAAGGAATGTTGTCAGGATGGCCAATAGTCAATTGGAAGTGAGACTTGGAAGAGAACAACAAGGGCTTCATTAGAAGGCTAACCAAGGGAAATGTGGCTTGTTGCTGAGTGGGATGGATGACAGATATGACTGAGGTACTCAGTGCCTTATTTGCCTCATTCTTCATGAAAGTTTCTCAAGCCTCTGTCATTAGTGAAAGGGTTCAAGGAGGACAACTAGAAACAGTGGATAAGGACTGAGTCAAGAATGCCTTCGGACAACTTGTACCATACAAGTCCATAATACCTGATGGTGTACATCTGATGGTTGTAAAAGTCCTTGCTAGGCTGATCACTATGATCACAGGTGCCTGAAGAAAGGCGAAGATAGCACCCATCTTTAAAACAGTCCACAAAAGCCAGAGAACTATAAGTTCATCAGTTTTTTTCTGTCCCTTGAAAAACCATGTAGCAAGTCCTTTTGGGGCACATTTCTGGCCGCACAAAAGAGAAGATAATTGAGAATAGTGAACATGGATTTACAAAAGACAAACCTAACCATTTGCCTTCTGTGATAAAACAACCAGATTCGTGGACAGGGTGATTGCAGTGAGCATCACTTACCTTGACACTAGCAAGGTTTTCACACTGTGTCCCACAATATTCATGTATCAAAGTAGGAACTCTACATTCTGAAGGGATGGACAACTAAATGGGTAGAAAATTTACTACTTAAAGGAGCTTCAAGGGTTGTGGTTAATTGTTCGTACCTTAGTTTGATGTCTTTGACAAGTGGAGTATCTTAGGGATCTATCCTGCCTAAGAGAAGGATGTTACTGCAAATACAGTCAGAAAATAGCTCTGGGGAAGCAGTAGCACTCAGATACAACGTATAAATAAGAACAAAGGTGTTTGATTTTTCTGTCTTTGACCAAGTTTTCTTGCTTTTTTGTCCCCCTCACCCAGTATAACTTTTGATTGGAGGAATCATTTATCAACTCTGAGTGGTTGTTTTATGGAGATTCAGCCTACGTGTTATCTTCCTTTGGTAGAGGATTCCTGTCATAGATATTTCTGTAAAACCGGGCACCAAATGTCTGTATTTCTATTCCAGCTGTTTGGATTTGGTTTTTTATAATCTCGTATTCTTTACTACAGCTGTAGTCCTACCTCCAGCTCTCCTAACTCCAGACTAATAGTCACTTTGTGTTAAACAAAGCATACATTGTTATGGTAACGATCGGTGTCCTTGTGAGGTCAGTACAGCTAGAGTTCTTAGATCTGTTAGAGATTTTGAGGTATCCTCTCACCTTCTAGTATTGCCTGATGAGTA